AAATACAAATGAATTATTACTGAGCATACAGTAGAAATTATCATGATACTTCCGAAAAAATTATCGTTTTTCACCCAGATTGGCGGTGTTCAGGGTCGGGGACCAAAACTCAACCTGCTATTTGGCGAGACCTGAATGTCGATTTGTCGGCCCTCTGTTCCACCTTTCAGCTCCCTGCAAGCTCGGATCAATTGATTCTGACATCTACCCCATGCGTAGGTAAGTTTTATCCCGTGCTTGATAGCAATAAGCACATCATACTACGTGTCATGCAGCGATAACCGGAGTCACTCCGAGGAGCTAGGGGTCATTTTGAAAAAATGTCAGTGGCTGACCATACCTATCAGTCCTCATGCCTGCGCTCGAGCGAGTCCAGATCCCGGGAACTCCGGATTTAGACATGAGCAAACCTTTGATAGGGCAGTAGTGAACTGGTATGGAACCTTACCTTCAGCTGATACCTCTCGGGGATCGGGGATCGGGGATCAATCCTCGCACGAGTGGGGAAGAAGACACCATACGGCTGAGAACCACCGAAAAGCGAGAGTATTGCTTTTTTGGCTAGTCCAAGTCAGTACGGAGTAGTGTCTAGGACAACATAATCTCTGAGCGGGAATTGGGTATCAGGATAGGCATTAGGGGAGTTCGAACCTCGATGAACTGGTAACCTGTCTGGCCAGGTGATCTAGTCTGTCATATTAATCTATTCTGCCATCTGACTTACCCATGACCTAGCTCAGTCTTTTCTGATATCCAGTCATCAAATATAGACGCCAACACTACACCTGTGCTACCATGAATCACTTCAAGCGTAGAGCAGGCGAGGCCCTAACACATGTCCGACAGTTCAGCTCCAAAGCCAAAAATGAACAGCCCGAGGAGCCATGGGTGTGAGTGACCAAACCAAGATCGAGAAATCTACATCTTAGGAGCGAGGACATGCTGACGGATGGCCTGATAGGAAAAGCCTTGATGAGCATGTCAAGTGGGAGGTTAAGGAGGAGAGTGAAGGAAGGAGGCTGTTTAGTGAATCTACCGACCAGACAATTCGCTTATATCGGGATGGATCACCGTCCAAATACGCTTTGTAAGAGAGCAATCGTTTTCTAGTGCCCACTTCTGACTCTCATCAAGATCCTCTTCGTCCATCGCATTTGCTGAATCTGATGAACTCAAAGAAATAACCAAGGAGCTCGAAGAAATGTGGAAAAAGGCGATCGAAGATCTTATCGAGAAGCGTGGTGATGATAGTAAAGATCTCGCTAAACTCATCAACGATCCCACTCCAGAGAGGCTCGAGGCGATTGTGCGCAGAGCGCAAAATGAATTGGAGGCAAAGACGCATACAAAAGTGGGGAGGGTGAAGGGATGGATCAATAAAGTGGCCGGACGGATTAACAACCATAAGTACCTCCTTGATATGCTTCCTTCCGGAGACAAGTACACATCAGTCTTAATCGGGGGCTTAACTGCTTGTATTAAGGTCTTTAATTACCCTCCTTGTTAAACCCGAAAATCGCGAGACTGACACTCCCAATCAAGGCTACACTGGAGCACGAAGCAATTGCAGAGTTAATCGCCGACTGCCTTGAAAAACTCTCTGATAAGACCTACAAGCTGTCCCATGCTATTCGAATCTCGAAGCAAAACGATTACATTAGAACCCATATTGTGAAGTTCTATAAGACGTTATTTGGGCTCTTGGTTTCTATACTCGACCACTGGTTACTCTCACGAGCTGAGCGCTTCAAGAATAGTCTCGGGAGCAGTTTTCAAAATCAGCTCCAATGCTCGATGAACGATCTTGACTATCATGTGAAGGAATTGAGTGATGAGAAGAACTCCGTAATGATGGAAAATATGTGTTATGATTTGGGACAATTGGGACAGTTGCTTCAGGCACTTCTCGTTGGCGGGTATAGTGAGTCATGGCCGACTGCCACCAATGCCAGTAACCAGTTTAGGACGCCTGGTCAATTTCAGGCCGCTTCTGAGAGCCCGTCTGGCGCTCCATATGTCATTCGTGGTCTGCCTAATATCCATGAACCTAAATTAGCAGCAAGCGTGGCGCCAGGAATACAAGACGAACACAATGGTCATCACTGGACCACTCAGACCATCTTGGATGGCACAGCGTGGATGAAAAGATATGTCTGTTTCAAAAAGGAGGAGAGCCTGCTTGAGGAAAGCTGCTATGGATCCACAAACCCCCAGGTATACTCTCGTCTAGTGCAATGGACTCAATCGAGGTCATCCGAGGCGCTATGGCTTGAAGGCCCGGCAACAATGGGTGGCACGACCCCAAACACACTGATAACAGCGCGCATTGTCGAAACATTCCGAAGGCTTCGTGTCCCTATCATTTCATTTTTCTGTGAGTATGACTCGGGACAGTACAAAACATTCTCCTGTCCAGAAGAGCTCTTGAATATGGTGTACTCTTTGACATCTCAAATGTTAGCCTTCATTCAAGATAATCTATCCTCTGTCTATGATTCTGAGGATTTGCCGGATTTCTCGCCCGCTCGAATACGTCGCCTTACTACGGATCCTAACTCGCTGCCCGACGCAATTGATTTCTTGAAGGATATAATTCCTTTGGGACCGCCAATATTAGCCTGCTGCATTGATGGACTCCAGGTCTTAGATTATTCGGAACAGTCACACTGGTATCAAGATTGTTTGAAGTCCTTCATTGAAGTTATAGGAACCACAAAACCCCCTCATCCGCGCATTATGAAGGTATGGCTTTCCACTGATGGATACTGCGAGGCCCTTCAGGTTGCCGTTAACGCCGGCTGGATTGAAGCCGATATTACAAACAGCGAGGACGACACAGAGCCTCTCGAGATAGATCAGTGGATGTAGCCGGGGGTATTTAGTCCTTTCTTTTGTATTCATATCGCACATATCAAACACAACCTGGCTTGTAAGAGCCTCTACTGGAATTAGTGTTGATAGAGTCGGAGCAGACTTATTCGGTCAAGCAATATTACACAGACCTGTGGGTTAACCCCTACTCACATTTGCGGCAGAGGGTAGTAGCTATTTACACTTTGTACACTGATCCAGTAGAGAGAAAGCAAAGCAATGAACCACGAAGCTCTATAAGTAAACCACTCAAAGCTAGAGCAGTTTAGGCAAATGTTCTTCATTCTAAACCTGCTGATTGGCTCGGAATATTACTCGGACTTCCTGGAAATTCTAGGTTAGACTCTAGACTCAAGCGAAAAACAAAACAATCAGCCGCTCTAGCTGGGGCGATTTTGTCCGCTGACGTCTTGGAATGCCCGAAACACTAGCGCCTTCATGCCACCACCCTAAAATTTCAGAACTAACATCTGAAGGCCGACAACCAATTTCTACTTCAGGGCTTCAGCGGCTCCAGTAATACAACTAAGCCCAAAGTCCCAGCAACGAAAGCCTCCAGTCAAAGACGTCACCTCTTATCTTGTACACTCTTGAGCAATATCAGTTTAGTAGTTAAGCGTGCCATCTTTATTTTCATCAATCAAATGGCTTCTAGGAGGTGTCTTTGCGATGATTGAGGGTTGAAAACTTGCGCTGTAGCTTACCCTCGAGCACAAGCGCCATCAACATTCATTGTATGTTTTCAGTCATCGCAGTCTTATAGACCCTAGAACTAGCGGAAGCGTTTACTGTAAACCGACTTAACAGCTTATGACCCCGCCACCATGGACAGAAGTTATGAGACTCTACAAATTGTATGAAAACAAGGGTGTAACTAGCTATTCTCTATGTGTGAAGTAAACGCGTCTACGCCAGCAGTTGAAATTGATAGCTCTTGGATTCCTGGAAGCCCAAGGGCGACATGGAAACAACTCTTCAAGAAAGTTCCTGGTCGTGGTACAGACATATTCACTGTTTGTACTACTCTGTGCCCTTTAGGGTTTTCCCGAGGGTATTCACCGAGGGTGATACCCGTGGGTATCTAGCCTATCTAGCGTCATGCAGGAATGACTTGTTGTTCATGCGCATACGTACTGGCGTATGTAAGTGTGGCTATCTCCACACAAGATGTCATGGATAGCTAATAGCATCTAAGAATAGTATTTTGCATTACATTCAGTTGAATAAGGCCGATGCGGAATACCCCATTTGGACTCCCGTCAATCCCAGAAATATGATTCAGAGGCTGAAGGTCGTGCCAACTCAGCTGTACTTATCAAAGAGGGGTACACTGCACTGCGTGTGACGGAGCTACTACCTAGCGTGCACTAGCTGGGCTGCCTCGCACTGGCGGCGGCGTCTTGCATCTGACGCATATCATTGAGAGTGCAATTACATCCAACCATGGACACGTCTTTTTGGTAGAGAAAATCCCTCCTTCCTTAATATTTTTTCTTACACCCCAACTAATGTCTCGCAGGATACCTTAGGGCTTGGAGAAATATCACCACGGAGTCAAGGTATTCAAGGGGAAATCATCAGTTAAGGAAAACTGCCCGAGTGTATCTCTTTTTCAATGGGGGCAAGTCGTTCCCGAACGCAAGGCTGCCCGACGCATGAGATGTGACAGAATTGCTATGAATATAGCGGGGTTTGATGACACCCGCATGAAGCTGTGGATTTGTCTCATCTTAGCCCTAGTCATATCTCTGACCAAGCCTATCTTTAGGCACAGGTAAAATAATCGACAAGATTTTCATAATGTCCTCAGCTGGACTTTACGGTAGAGTAGAGATAATAAGGCAGGTACTGTGTAGGCAGAGTGGAGCAAAGGTAATGTTTCGGTTTTCTTATATCATGCTACTCGAATAAAAGAGATTGTCACAGCTTCTCGATACTGTTTCCTCGCGCACTGTCCCTACATGATTATAGAATCAGACCCATGATCCTGTGTACTCTTGTGCCGCGACAAAGCAAGAAGTTCGGCTCAAATAGTGGAAAATGAGATAGCCCTATATGCCATTAATATAAGCGTCTCCCAAGAGACAGACAGACAATATCCTATTACCTGCAGTCATCTTCAAAACAAATCAAGTGATTGTGAGGTTGCCACCCCTTGCATCGCCACCCTTTGCAGCGCCCCCGGCATTCGCTCTGGCATTGCCTCCCGTCCCTGTCATCTTGATGTTGGCATCCGCACGGCTTGCCGGCATCTGAATGTTACCACCGGTGCCGTTACCGCCGGTGACAGCTTGGCCGCTTCCTCTCCAGTATCCATAATGTGCATCAGCATTACCACCGGTGCCAGAAGTATCGTATTCGGGTCTGCGGTTGGGAGCGGCCATGGTAGCTAGGATTTTTCGCGTAGCGATAGGTAGCAGTAGATAGTTGGTTTGATTTGGGAAACTTCTGTGAAGGCAGGGAAAGAAGAAGTATTTATGTTGCTTCGGGGCATTATCGGTTCCAGCTATCGTAGGCATGTTTCGTAGGAGGAAAAAACGTACTTCGCTTGGATCAACATCTAGACTACGTGATCTGCACCTCGGATCTAGCGTGGGTGTAAAAAAAAAGAAAAGAAAAGGAAGAGTTGAGAAAAGAAAAGATATTTCTATACAAGATAGAAAAAGAAAAAGGAAAAGGAAATAAGCAAATATGCTTCTCATATGCAATCTTACGCAGCGTCTGCTTCAGGAGGAGGGGGGTCATATTGCGCCTTGTTCATGGCGATATTCCGGTTGGACAAGGTATTCTGCGGGGGATCATTGGCTCGGGGTCTCCGATCAAGTGTATCTTTTTCTTCGAACGACGGAAATGTCGACCTCAACGCAAGGCTGCCCGATGTTATGTACCTCGCGGGGTTGATGATTTTCTCTCATGAAAATGTCTTGTCTTAAACTCAGCCGCGTCGCTGATCAAGCCCATACTCACAAGCTGGTGGGAGAATCGACGGAATTTGCAAAATGTCGTTACCTGGACTTTATGATATGGGTGGAGATAAGGAGGCAGATACTGTGTAGGTTTGCGAGAAACACTCGACTTCCATCCGGACCAGGCTAATGGAGTCGAAGCATCGTTGCTGTACATGGACTTGGCGGGGACTATCTCAAGACATGGGAGTGTGAGACGAACGGATGGAACTGGATTCGATCATCGATCGAACCGAGGCTCCGACAAGAAAAAGGCATCAAAGCACGAGTCCTATCATTTTCGTATGCCGCAAAATTGGTGTCCACCGAGTCGACCGAGAATATCAGACAAGTGGCAAAGGTCTTGTTGGAAGGACTGTACGTGAAAATGAACGAAATGAAGCACAAATCCCTCGGTATTGTTTTCATCGCTCATAGTTTGGGTGGCTTGGTTGTGAAGAAGGTATTTTCTCCTTGTTTGATTCCCCCAGAATTCCCATCTATCCACAAAGGGCCTATATAGACATTCTGACTTGAATACCGGCTTCTGCATAGGCATTGAATATTGCCTCTTCGATTCACAATAAACGGTATGAGCATCTTTCCAGCAGCGTACGAGGATGTCTCTTCCTGGGCGTACCGCACCATGGCGCGGGTCTAGCATCCGTGGCAGGCTGGGGGTCCAGGCTTCTGGGCCCCCTCAAGAGGTCCAGTTACGTAGAAGACCTTCGTAAAGACTCCCCGGCCTGCCAGGAAATCAGTGAGGACTTTGTTCAAACGTCCAAAGACTTGAAGATTAGGACATTTTACGAAGACCGGCGGCTGAATGGTTTACTTGTGAGACGCTCTCCCCGGGCAGATGAAACCACCGGTAGCTGACATCGCGGATTCAGGTGGTTCAACCATATTCTGCGCAAATGAATCAGCTAAGCGAGGTTGCGACGATGTTACAAGGATCCGACCACCGTACGATTTGCAAATTCTGCGGAGACGACGATGTACGGTACGGAGAGGTATGGGCTGCGTTGGTTGAAATCATCTCATTCGAAAAACCGAGTATGTTTTACCTCCAGAGATCTCCGTGCGATAGACGCTGATGTGTAGCTAACTATTCCATAGATATAGTTCCTAATGATTTGCCAGGCCCAGACCCCTCGACCTACGAGGCCAATGCCGGATCTGGTGACGGAGGCTACGCAGACTACGGGGATAGCACGGGAGGCAGGATTACGGAGGCTTCGGTCAGCCTGGAAGAGTCTCTCGGGGGCCACGGATTTGGAGGAAGTGCCAATGGATACCGCCACGCCATTGCAGGGGGCGCTGAGGGAGGTTCAGCGTGTGGAAAGAATGCTCGGGGAGGAAATGCAAGGGGAGGAAAGGCTACACTGGCTAAATAGAAGCCAAGCCACAATTGAGTTTGACTAAATCTTAAATCTTGCCCTATTTAACGCCTAAAGAGCCTCTCCTTCATCGATCGGTGCTCCTCATGTTTATGAAAATTCCCCGATACCGCTAGGCCCGCCCTCGCTTTTCCATCTACGTTGTTCGCACCTCCCCCAAAGCCATCCCCGCCCGCCCCATAATCCCCCCAGGCATCTCCTCCAGTTCCACTGCCTCCCTTGGATCTCCCCGACGGGTAGAACATGCCGCCGGTAGCGTGGCCCCCCTGGGCGATGGCCTGCTTTCTGCTGTTGGAAGTCGCCTCGCCTCCCATACCAAAGCCGCCAGTGGCGACGATCGCCTTGGTGTTGTTTTGGATGACCAGAGTGTCTCCGGGTCTCAGAACCTCTCCAATGGGGACGAACAGGTTGGTGAGCTTTTTGTTGCCGTAGTAAAGAGTCAGTTCTCCCATGAGTTTTTGAGTGGTCTGTATATAGGCCTGCAACTGTCGGAGTGTCATGTCATCCTCTTGCTCCACCTTAACGTGTCTGTCGGTATCGTCGGCTGTTGGGCCATTATTATTTGAACTTGAGTAACTAGATAGGGAATCTGCACTTGCCGCCTTTGATGACGCAGTTGAATTCGATCTCATTGGCTTCGTCGTACTTCCCCATTTTGGCTGAGGTAGCGTTGAATGGCGTCCGTGAATCTCGGTTCAGATCCAGAGAAGAAATGAGTGAGATGTGTTGTGTTGCGATTTCTTTCTTTTGAGGTAGAGTTGCTTCTATATTCCACGGACATGGCTGGGGAGAGAGTAAGCTTTTATAGCCAAGAATGGATTCCATTGCCTTACCTACCCTATCCTAAACTACAATCGGAGCTCAACATATCCTCCAAGAACGTACATACTATACTTACTCTTTCCATAGCCACCGTGTCGGTATCTGCAATCTGCGCCCCATCTAAGGCTCTATTTCGGCCTGACATGCCTTTCCAGTAGGCTCTGACATGCAGTTGGAGGGTGGCGTAAACACCAATAACAGTCTGACCCGTGTAACATGTTAGAGTGCAGATGCCTAAGAAGGACTTCACAATGCAGAGACATGGTACATGTCTGTAAATTACATGGTGATACTGTTATTACTGACTTTATCTACATCATGCATACAAAAGCTCTCCTGCACTGGGAGTCTATTTCTTCTTTGGGTAATCCCGAAGAAGAAAGAAAGTAGGGTCTAAAATTAACCCTACTGTAGGTGATGTGTCGCATGGCAACCCACCATCACCATATCTCGGGCTAGAATGATCAACTGCAAAGTACAATTCAATTGACCGATGAAATCCCGACGTCCTGCCATCATTTCTTTTTTGGCATATGTAGACGATTCGACCCCGCAGCAGTACCTGACTCGTGTGTAGTATATGTGATCAGTAATGATTTGCTGAGCTGGCGAATAATGTGCATACTAGGCACCGTCTCAAAGGCCGACCTGTCGGTGGGTTGCCAGGCAATCCTAAACCGTTGATTTCTTTTTCCGAATTACTCAAAGGAGAGATAGATGTCCGATACACTCCAAGTGATCTACAGTCTCATTCATATGCAATGCGATGGCCTCCTTCTCACATATAACCCCGCAGTAGCCTACTCTTGTGTATACTGCGTATGTGATCAGGAAAATGATTTACAGAGCTGGCTGATAAGGCACATATGTAGGCACCGTCTCACAGGCCGACCTGTTGAACAGGCAATGAACAACAGGCAATATCCGAAGTCTGAGTAGGAATTGTATACTCAAATTTAGCTACAGAATCACAAATTTTGGACCAGTCTCACTGCGGGAATCAACAGCAACTCAGCCGCACCACCCTAAGCACAAGTGTCGCTGTCGTATCCCGCCCCATCCCCTCAGCGATCAGTCGACTGATTCCCTCCTCAACAATCAGCCCAAAGATATGGATCCCCCCGAACCATTTCCTCCCGATACAGTCGATGAATTATTCCGGCCCGCCGTAGTTGTGGTTGTTGAGGTAGCACTCCCACCGCTGCCGTTGCTTGTGATGTCTCCGGTATGGAAGCTCTTAGTGCCGTTATTATGGTAGGTCACTGTGTTTCCGCAGTTTGTGTTGGTGGTGTTTCCACAATTGTTCGACGTCGTGTTGCCACAGTTATTGCTCCAAGAGAAGCTGTTCCCGTTCCTGCTTGGGGCCCAAGGCGCGTTGGTCCAAGCCCATGGATTTGTGTTGCCCGAGTTGTTTCTCGCAGAGCTCGAAGTATAATACGGTTTCGACATATTGTAAGACAAAATCAATTCAAGTGTAGAAATGAGTAGGCGAACAAGCAAGTCAGCGAGACGGATATAGGTGTAGAACGATTGTCTAGAGGATCAAACGGGCAGGGAAACGCCCCTTCTTATACAAGAGATTGAGTGTGTCTCTTGAACTTGCCCTCTCAATACGACCTGTGCCATGCTTTTATGCGTCCGTATGTCACACCGCATTCCCGCCATGCAGTCTTGTCAATGGCAGGTCTTGGTAGTTCGAACTGCAAGTCCCAATGCATAGAGCGCCTAGAAGGGTTTTTACACATAGAGTAGTACTTTGTGTGTGGATGTAAAAGAGTTCGTTTGATAGACTCATCTTATTTGCTAGCGATTCAGAGGAAACACGATCCATCAGGTAGATCAAACTGGATTTAATTTTCGGCCAAGATTTATTTCTATCTAACTTGAGGGCAAGGATAGTCTTCAAACCGTTGCAGGGACAATCACATTCTTAAACCCATGAAGATCAATTCATTTCTCGATAACTATTCACAGAGAATAATGTATTATGTTGAGGCGCGCTCTATAGTGAAAGCAAGCAAAACAGCAAAATAAAGTGATAGAATACAGTAAAAGTATATTTTATTGGCTATCTAGAGTATAGAGTAAAATGAATAAACAAGATAATTGTTATGGCAGTCTAGATACTAACTATATAACCAAGCTTGGAGTAGGTTACTAATGAAGCTAATGTTAGCGGACCGCATTTTATAATGGGGCGGATCCTTATTACGGGATAAGCTTATCCTATCTTCAGCTCCTTTTTTTTTGCACACCCTTACTTCTTTTCTCTTCTTTCCACTCATATCCGATTTCCCAATTTTATATCAAACTCCGCTTTGCCTGCCTAAGTCCTTTATCAATTCTAAGGTATTCCCAACTTCACCTTGGATAAGCCCTTGCCAAGAAAGCCATCTCATCTCCAGGGCTTAAGTACCGAGAAGATTTTGGATAAATCTCTCAAATTGTTCCACCAGCATCCTTCAGAATAGTCTGCAAGATGTCAACCTTTACGGCCTGGCAGGCTGACCTGTTCCTTCTGGTAAGACTTATTACTCAGCGACTAAATGCATGTTTTGACAATATTCTAGGAGCATTGGCAAGAAGACTCGCCGCTATCCGATGATGCCCAACGCGAGGAACTATTCGCCAAATATGTGGCACTTGGAGTCTGCGGCCGCGAGGTAATTTGATTTTGACCTCTCATTGCTCCAACCAGAAAACTAACCTATCGGATTAGCCGTATCGAAACCAGCAGCGAAGACTAGGGAAGAGGTCTGTTCGAGACCTTCCAGTACCTAGTCAAGAGCTATTAGATCGTATCCGCCTACCTGCTGAACGTGACTTGAATGACGATCCATGCTGGCTCCGCACCTGCTACGGCCCTTCTACAGAAAGCTCGTGGGCCCAGATCCAAGATTACATCGATACCAAGGTCGGCGGCTCAGCCACAGTTTTCAACGACTCATCTTTGTATAACTTTGGTTCCAACTGGGAGAAGATATTTCTTCGTGTCCCACAGTTACTGGATAATACTTGTTTGTTCGAAGAATACAAAGAGAATGTTCAGGAGGCCCTAGAAGAGGGAATTGAATCCGACGAGACGGATCCCCAGCGTGCCGAGGAAAGCGGCTATGACCCAGAGGAAGATGGCAACCCTTGGATTTGCTTTTATTCAGAGTACCTCTTCCGTTTAGCGGCGGGATACATCTACGTCGTTGATGACAAAACGTTGGCCTCCGAAGGCGCTGACGCAGGGACTGTCCTCATCATCTGGTACGACGAGTGTGGACGAGCAATCCGTTACTATCGAGAGAAAGCGATGCACGCAGCCGAAATTGCGAATCTCGACCCTTGTTATCTCAAGGAACGTGCGTGCTGGAATAATGCGGAAATTGGCGAATCCTATAAGTGGGGTGCACCCTTAGGGCCTCCCTATAGATTGGAAGAAAAGAGCGGAAAACCCTCTGAGTAGGAGAATTTGACTCAATGGGATCATCTGGAATACAAATATTTTAGCTTCAATATGCACAACAAATACATACTTTGTATCCAAATGATGATATTCTAGATTCAAACAATGAATCCTAGTGTGGGCCGTATCACCGAACGCTCCGACCTTTGTCTAGGCAGGGCACATGTACAAGCGGGATGCGACAAGGCTGGATGTGCAAGGTGTTGTCGCACGTGATACAACGCAAGGCTTACTTACTTTAACATAGTACCCTCTATAGCTGGACATCAGCCGACCATCTATAGCCTCATGTGTGAAAAACAAGAAAAAGATCAAGAATTTTATCACGTTGTGGATGCTTAACTGATTATCGTGAGCTACCGAGCCGGGTACGTGAAGTCTACAGCAATATAGTCACTGACAGGATATTCTACTTTACCTGTCTATAGGGTGACAATGCAGGGATACCAATACTAGATAGGAATGAATAATGATGGGATTTCGAATTGGATAAAGCTGCGATTAATAAACACTCAGCAAAACTTTTCACACTACTCATGCCGTGAAAGTCTGTCTGCAGCCATGGAGTGTATTAAGAGAAACAAAAGACTATTCACATGGTACCGGCCATTCAATTTAGAAAAAGAACTGACGCTTCCCACAGGCTTTCGATGTCCTGTGCCCTACGGTAACTGAATCTGTCAGGTCTTGTCCCACGGCAGCAAATCGTTAGGGTTCCAAAAGTGGAAATTGAAGGAAACGACCTCGGATTGCTCTGCCGAGTTGAGTTCTATCTCCCTCAACTGAACAATGCCTACAGACATTCTCTGGCTGACCAGCACTGACACCCTATATGATTCTATTGTAAAGGATACATACCTATACATGTTTGCAAAATGGCTGTGAGCAAGAGAGGGAAAAAAGGTTCACAGAGCAACTTCCCCTTTACATCCGAACACTGACTTGTCGACGCCGCGATAATGTCTACGAAAGTGTTCTTATTTATGAAATGGCTTTCCAGAATTTCGGTGACTACGCAACATTTCACGTTCATCAAGGTTTACACGAACAAACACCAGCCCTAAATACAATCTGTTCAGAGTGTCCACCCGCCGGCCGACGGTTCGCCAATGGGAAAGATTCCCGCTACTGGGAGCAGCCGAGGGAAACGCACCGGAAGGGAAAAGCCTCCACTGCGGAGCTAACAGGGCTGCTAAAGACCCTGTGGTTCCAATTGTGCTTTTTCAACCTTTTTCCCCGACCATATCAGAGCACTTCCTCATCGCCACATTGGCATCCAGTCAGACTTGGGCTCATGGGGGTAGCCGTATGCTCAAATTAGTTCCTCATTCCTCGTCTGACCTCTACAATATATCCTGGTTGTGGGCAACTTGGGCTTAAAATTCTTTCTGTGTGTTTCTCATTAGCCGGCAACCCCCCGCTCATCCTGCATTGCAAATAGAGGGGTGATATCACGCACATACGGTTAGGCCCCTTATAGCCGAACGGTCTGCGGTAGCTCGATACCTTTTCTATCGTCGGAACGGCGATAAAATGAGGTCTTCCGCCGATTTAGACATAGAAAAGACGGACGGAAACCGTGAAAGCAACAACATTCCAGCCTTGCCTGTTTCTCATTGTACAGATTCTCCCCAGTTTGGAGAAAAGGTCCTGGATGGTACAACCGACACTCGTGAGTATCGTGAATCTCATGATGAAAGTCCAGCCATCAACGTGATGGAGGAACAGTCTCATACAGGGGTCCAACACGATTGCAGCCTACCGCAGGCAGAGACAACGCTTGAAGATGGCCTCCAGAGACCCTCGTCTGGAGCGTCTGGCTCAGACAGCTCCGCACACAGCGCCCCGATGACTCGAGTCACAACGGATGCAGATGGAAACACTTATCCTGAAGGCGGTTTGGAGGCCTGGCTAGTTGTCTTTGGTAGTTTCATGGGTCTCTTTGGCTCCCTTGGCTTGGTGAACACCATTGGAACTTTCCAGGCCTACATTGAGGATCACCAGCTGAAAGAATACAGCTCTGGAACCACGGGCTGGATTTTTGGCATGTACGCCTTTTTGACCTTCTTCTGCGGTGTACAGATAGGTCCAGTCTTCGATGCCAAGGGTCCTCGATTCTTGGTCTTTTCGGGTGCCGTACTGGTCATCATCATGATGGTAGCTCTGGGTTTCTGCACCCAGTATTGGCATTTCATGCTGGTCATCGGTGTCGCTGGAGGTATTGGAGCCTCGCTCATCTTCACCCCCGCAATAGCCGCGATCGGCCATTTCTTCAACGAGAAACGTGGCGTTGCAACTGGCATTGCTGCCACAGGTGGCTCCGTAGGAGGTGTTGTCTTCCCTCTTACCTTAGAGGCCTTGTTCCCCAAGATAGGTTTCGCATGGGCAACCCGGGTGGTTGCGCTTCTTTGCCTCATCTCAGTGGCCATTGCGTGTTTGTTGATCAAGTCTCGGTTGCCCAAAAAGCCCGCTGTAAAGGAGAACATGCTGCCCGATTTTCGTATTTTCCGGGAACCAAAATTCGCTCTTACCACAGCTGGCGTCTTCTTCATCGAATGGGGCCTCTTCATTCCGATCAGTTACATCTCTTCCTATGCCTTGGCTCATGGCGTTTCCTCCAAATTTTCGTACCAGATCCTGGCGATCCTCAATGCGGGTTCATTCTTCGGTAGAGGGATCCCTGGGTTTGTGGCCGATTATTTGGGACGGTTCAATACGCTCATCGCCACGGTTGCGTTATGCCTCGTCTGCAACGCGTGTCTCTGGCTTCCGGCCGGCAACAGTGTACCTGTCATGGTTGTGTACTGCGTTATTTTTGGTTTTGCAAGCGGCAGCAACATCAGTCTGACCCCTGTTTGCATTTCTCAGCTGTGTAAGATCGAGAATTACGGCAGGTACTATGCTACTGCGTACACGATTGTGAGTTTCGGGTAGGTTATCATGTACCTGTCAGGGTTCCACAAGTATGAGCTAACAACCTTCTACAGCACCCTTACGGGCATTCCAATCGCCGGAGAGATCTTGTCGCGATGTAATGGCGAGTATTGGGGCTTGATTACCTTCACGACTTGCTGCTACGCTCTTGGCCTCGTCTGCGTCACATTGGTCAAAGTAATTCACGTTGGCTGGCGTCACCCACTAGCGATATATTGAGGGAATAGCATCCGATTCGGGCATCCATGACCATCTATGCGACAAAATGAGCAATTTACCTGCCGCTACTGACGGAAGAAACAACAAAAACTTACCCACTATTGTCTAATAGACTCACGAACCTAAGATCCCCATGACATGTCAAGACATGGAATCTAGAGCGGTCCAAACATGGTACCGTCAAAACTCTTAGCTTAAGCCCTGGCCTGTGGCTATCTGCCGCACTTCAATGTCTAATCCTTACAAAATCACTCAATGGACCCATCAAATCGAGTAGCATATTACCTTCTAGCCCAGAAAATAAGCCGACTAGAACAACCACCAAGACCATTTGTGCGGTGACCATAGACCCTAAATCTCTGGTGTGCGGCGTCACCATGATAGCGACATCATCGTCTAGAACCCCCATGACATCTATCAAGCATCATGCCGTTACCTTTCACATGACTATATAAGCCCTCTTCAATCTCCTCTTCATCTGCGACGCTTCAAGCCAGGTCAATTGCATTCTGTTCTCTTCCTTCACAGACCCCTCTCCTTCTCTTGTTTCTTTCTTCTATACTCAACCCATACATCAAAGAAAGCAATCCATCATGTACCTCCGCACCTCCCTCCTCGCCCTGGCCCTCGCCTCCGCCGCCCTCTCCGCCCCCGTCGACACCGTCGACAATGGCAACGCCGCAGCCAGCGTGCCCGCTCCCACCGCAGCCCCTGGCCAACCCGGGGACGTCAGCGCCGCCAGCATCCCCGGCTTCCCCGGCATCACAGCCACCGTGACCATCACTATCTCGCTGCCCTGCGCCGGCGTCACCGCAACCATCGGCCCCGCCGACAAGGGCCTCGAGGCTCGCGCTACAGATGCAGTTCCTAGCTCTAGTGCCTCTGCCTCTGTGATCAGGCCTACCAGCAGCAGCATCAGAGCCCTGTCTACCTGCGTGGCCTCTCCTTCTTCCACTGGCGCCGTAGTGTCTGGCTGTGCTGACGACGATGACGATGATGACGATGACAATGACGACGACGACGACGATGATGATACTGACAATGGAAACGGCAATGGGAATGGAAATGGCCCCTCGTTCATCCGAAAGCCCATTCAAACCACTACTTCCACTAAGACATCCGTGACTTCAGTCCCTACTGCTACTTCGACAACCTCACAGAAGACCACTGACTCCGCAGACCCATCTGCAACTGCAACTGCTACATCTACCCCTGCCATCCTACTCCCCTCTCCAACTGAGACCTCTTCAAAGGGAGGCGATAGCACTACTACAGATGCCACATCCAAGACAAAGACCGACACCGATTCATCATCCACATTTCTCACTCTACCTTCCCCTTCATCTTCGTCTTCCTCTTCAGCAGCAGACAAGACCAGCAGCAGCACCACAGAGAACCCATCCCAGGACCCATCAACTACAGCTACTGCTACAGCTAGTGACTCCACATCCACCTCTGAAACCAAAACCAAGAAACAAGCCACCACAAAGTCTTCTCAGGACCCAAGCATCACTTCTACATCCACGACCGAATCCAAGACTACCCCCACCACCACCACCACCACAACCAAGAAATCCAAAATCAAGCGCGGATTCGCAGCAAACGCGACAGGGATTATTGAGGTTCCGCCGTTGAAGCCGAAGCCTACTGGTGGGCGTTGAGCGGGGGGACGAAAATGGGTATTTGAATTAGTTAAAGGAAGATGGGGACGACGAAAAGGGGGTGAAGTATTTGCTAAGTTGGTAGTTTAGTTAACATCATTTGAAAGTTTGGAGACAGTAGGGATAAAATCAAAACTTGTTTGTTGGTTGCTTGGTATACTATCTCTCATTCTTTTCTATGTCTAGCTAGCTAGATGTAAGTGGTCTTAGTTTTCTTTTATTGGTTCGACTTCATTCATTCTTTCGTTCTTCTGGGGGAGGCATGGTGGGTATAGAAGGTAGGTACGTAGGCAGTCGTTCTTGGATTATTTTGTAGTAGGTTGGTAAATTTCTCACTCTCACATTTCTCTCTGTCTCTCTCTCTCTCTCTCTCTCTCTCTATGTGTGTGTGTGTGATTTGATTGGTGGTGAAGAGTGTAGATAAGATGTATGCTGTTTTACTTCAGATTCGAATTGCGCCTGATTCTACCTACTTAGCTACCTAGCTACCTGATTGCTTTTGCTCTAACAGATACCACGAGAAAGTATAACTTCCTTAAACCAACGTCCCTACTACAAGGGAAGAGTGTCGGCATACGCCGACAGTGTGAAAATGAAAATGTAGAAGAAAAGGAAAAGTTATGGCTGATTCAGGTCTTCCTGATCCCCAACCAAGGGGCTCATCTGCTAGTGTGAAAAGATTAAATACAATACAAATAGGAAGGAGAAGATGACTCGGGTCGCAAAAAGCATGCGTTAGAAGGGGGAACGAGTTTAGATGAGAAGAGAAAAAAGAGCTGCCGGGCAAATAACTGGAACATATGCAAGAGAGTTTCCGCAAGCAAAAGCAGAAGGATGCTGGCTCCCTTGACCATTGCTTGACTCGCCCGTATTTGTCTTCATTCCATGCCGCAGGTTTATATGGAGAAACCCCGCCTGTGGTTCCTTGCGCCAAACACCTTACACCAGAGGTTTACTGGCATAAACAGTAACAACCGAAATCAAAACACACTATAGTATAGGCAGATGAGAAAGGGAAGAAGAGAGAGGCAAAATGAGAAATGCCATGGCTCGGCTGTCGACAATGTGACCAGCGACAAACGTATGCAAAAGCAGGAAAATCGACCGAGAAGCTGGGGAAACGAAGCAAAAGCGGAAGGCGTATGCGGTGGGACATAAGATGTAAGTTTTCCCGAAGGGAAACTGAGAGGAATAAAACGAGATGGGGTGCCAAGAATAGGTCACCAGGCCAAAGAACATTTCTTACAGGCGCAGCATAAAGAGATAGGGTATAAGGTTTGCATCGAAGCCATTCGGAAAGATGAAAGGAAAACAAGCGAAAGGATATCTTGAGAGCGTCTCACGAGCTGTTGGACCGCAGCAGTGCCTGGTAGAACCCGTTAGTATGACAAAGGTCCTTTTCGCAACTGTGCAGGTGCAAGACTCACCCTTTCGACGGCAAGCTCATCCGCTCGGTCATTTGGGCTTGCGAGGCCACCACCACGATTAATGGTACTGGTTGCGGTCACGGATCGAGGTTCCAAACCCGGGCGCTGTTGGCTCTTGCCATCAGGCCCACTGTGATGGACCGGGTGCATTTCACCACTACTTGAGATGCGCGACTCCTTGCTCTTCTCCAAAAGGGAACCACCTAACGTAGCACATTTGAGGATGGTCTGCATCATCTGGTTCTGCTTCAGAGGTTTCGACAGGTACTCATCCATCTGGGCCTGGATACACTTCTCTCGATCACCCAACATGGCGTGTGCAGTTAGCGCGATGATCGGTGTCCGGCTGAGACCACTTTCCCTCTCATACTCCCGGATCTTGCCAGTGGCTTCGAAGCCACCCATGACTGGCATCTGGACATCCATCAGAATAACATCGTAGCGCCGTTGCTTTACGGCTTCTACAGCCTCGAGACCGTTGCTGACGACAGAAACGTTGTGGTTGTGTTTCTCGAGTATCTTCACAGCCAACTTCTGATTGACGTCGTTGTCCTCCGCCAGAAGAATGTCGAACGACCGGGAGTGGTCCGTAGTGATGGGTGTAGACCGTCCCTCAAGAGCAGGCAGCATACCATTACCGAGATCAATCGGCTGACAGGGCGTGGTCATATAGGAGCTGATACCAAGGTCGAGGGCAGACTTCAAACTGACGCAGACCAGCGGGCATACCAAGACAATAGGAACGTACTTGAAGTCATCGAACGTCCGCAGCAGCCGAGCAGTGGCCACCGAGTCCACGATTATCACATCATAGGCATGGCCGGATTCTTTGCCGGACGGGTCCTGGATCTCAGGCGGCGGGACATGATCCTCGTTCCGCACCACTAACGGCTCCAGGTCGATCTGTTTGAGCATCTTCATCACATTCTCGGCCTGGCCACCATTCTCGCCCTTGTCGATGAAAAGGACACGGTGGTTCTTGTACGGCATCAGCTGCGAGGCGATGACGCTCAAAGACTGGTCCGCCAGTTTGACAACGCAGGTGAAGTGGAAGGTACTGCCATGGCCATATTCCGAAGTGACCCAAACATCACCACCCATCAGGTTCACTAGGCGCTTGGAGATGGACAGACCAAGACCTGTTCCACCAAACCTCCTGGTAGTCGATCCGTCGGCCTGCTGGAAGGTGTCGAAGATGAGGTCTAGCTTGTCCTCCTCAATACCGATACCTGTGTCGGAGACGGAGAATTCGAACGCATACTCATCTGCCGCGCACTGCTCTCGATCAGATTTGCAGATGGTGAGCTTGACCTCGCCGTGCTCGGTGAACTTGATGGCGTTGCCGACAAGATTGAGGATGATCTGCCGCAGACGGAAGGGATCACCGATGACATAGTCAGGAACGGTGTTGTCCACCTGGTACGTCAAACTCAGGAACTTCTCGTTGGCCTTGACGGCTAACGTCTTCAGGGCGTTGAAGACGGTTCCCCTCACGGTGAACGGGATGCTCTCGATCACCATACGGTTCGCTTCGATCTTGGAGATATCGAGTATGTCATCAATAATGGTGAGCAAGCTGTTTGCCAGGTTGTGCACGACATTCAACATCTCTCGAGTATACGGCTTGAGATCATCAGTGTCCAAGGTCAACTGCGTCATCCCGATGATACCGTTCATGGGCGTCCGAATCTCGTGACTCATGTTCGCAAGGAACTCGGACTTGGTGCGGTTGGCCAATTCTGCAGCTTCCCTGGCAGCCGTGTTACGTTGAATACTGTCTCGGAGGTTGGAAACCATCTTGTTGATCTTCCGCTTCAACTCATCCATTTCGCCGGATGCGTTGACCGTGATGAGCTTGGTGAAATCGCCGTCCGTGGCGGCATCCGTAATCTCACCGAATGCACGCACCTGCGACGTCAAGTTTTCCGCCATGGTATTGACGTCTTCTGTAATCTCCTTCCATGTTCCAGCGATTCCTTCAACGTTAGCTTGACCACCCATCTTGCCATCCACGCCGACATCGCGGGCCACCTTCTTCAGTTCAGTTGCGAATTTGGCCAGTCGGTCAACCATGTGGTTGATGGTGACCTTCAACGTAAGTATTTCTCCTTGTGCATGGACCTCGATCTTCTTGCTAAGGTCACCCTTTGCAATGGCTTGCGTAACGTCTGATATACTCCGCACTTGGGATGTCAGATTCTGGGCCATGGTGTTCACGTTGTCGGTTAGATCCTTCCATTTGCCTTCCACATTATCAACCTTGGCTTGACCGCCCAGTGTACCATCCGTGCCGACTTCACGTGCGACCTTGCTGACTTCGAAGGCAAAGGTATTTAGCCGGTCCACCATGCCGTTGATCGTGCTCTTCAAATCCAAGATTTCACCTTGGACATTCGCCGTCACCTTCTTAGTCAAATCACCCTTGGCGACGGCGGTGGTCACGTCGGCGATCTCCCTGACCTGGGTGGTCAGGTTGTTGGCCATACGGTTGACATTTTCGGTTAGATCCTTCCATGTGCCCTCCACATCGTTGACGGTGGCTTGACCACCCAGGACACCATCCGTACCGACCTCCTTGGCGATCTTGGTGACTTCTTGTGCGAACTGCCGTAGTTGGTCAACCATGGAATTGATGATATTCTTCAACTCTGCGATCTCCCCCTTGCAGTTCGCCTGAACCTTCTGCGTCAAGTCACCCTTCGCCACAGCCTTGGTAACCGTGGCGATATCTCGCACTTGTGTCGTAAGATTGTTCGCCATGGCGTTGACATTCACCGTGAGTTCGTTCCACATGCCTTGTACCCCTTCGATTTGGGCCTGTCCACCAAGCACACCCTCCGTACCGACGTCACGCGCGACGCGGGTGACTTCCGTTGCAAATGTTCTTAGTTGGTCCACCATGGTGTTGATCGTCTGTTGCAGTTCCAAAATTTCACCCTGGGCCCGGCTTTCGATCTTCTGGCTCAGGTCACCGTGGGCGACCGCTGTCGTGACCGCAGCGATTTCACGGACCTGATCGGTGAGATTCTTGGCCATTATGTTGACGTTCTCCGTCAACTCTTTCCAGATACCATGCACCCCAGTGATCTGAGCCTGACCACCGAGTATGCCCTCTGTTCCGACCTCTCGTGCGACTCGCGACACCTCGCTACCGAAGACTTGTAGTTGGTCCATCATGGTGTTGATTGTACGCTTGAAAGTGGCAATTTCGGGGTCCATCTCCAACGGGTGGATCTGCACCTTCATGGACAGGTCACCATTTGCGACCTGGGTAATGATGCCGCCGATTTCCCGGAGGGCCTTTTGGAACGCTTCGTTGGCCTGCTGGTGCTTGCGTAGCTCCCGCTCCAGCAAGACTACATCTTCGTTTTCGACCTTGGTCAAAGCCCGTCGTGTTTGCTCCTCCTGTTGTTGTAATTCATCACGGACCTGAGCAATGATATCCTTCTGAAAACTTATTTCCTCCGCTTGTTTCTGGACATGATTCCGTAGGTAGCTGATATCCTCCTCGCGTACCAAACGTGTCCTTGAGTTCAGTTCCTCATCTTCATCACTCTCCTCATCATCGATGTC